TGACTCATAAAATATGCATTTTACATTTTTGGCCTGCATCTCACTTGGAAGTTATGATCATTCCGAAGTTGCAAGTTCGTATAATGTTCTTAGTTTAACAGAATACTTAGCATAACTAACTAACAATGCAATGGAGACGGGATTCTGTCGCAATCAGACCTCATGGGATATACCTCACGGTATTTATTTAACGAGCTTCTATATTTGTCTAACTCATTGCGGCTTCCAGGACAGATATCCTGAGAACCATTCAACTTCCACTGGTTGAGTTTTTTAATTTGAGGTCTAGCCTTAAATTCTTGGTATACAGTAAATGGGAATAGCCCCAATAAATCTTATCTGTTTTGATGCCAGCTGGTTTTAGTTGAATTGCACGCATAATATAACTGGGCGTTATTATTACTGTAAGTGATATTATGCATGAAGATGCAAATACAGCACACCCTTGCGAATTAGGGCGCACGGACCGGTTTGGTGACCTTGGGTGTGATTACCGAACGGTTTTCATGAGGCCCGTATTACGAAACGGTGCTCAAAAGTTTATTCAATCTCAAGAACAGATTTAGGCTCTTATTGCTTGAGCTCTTGATTGGTTGAATCCTAGATTTAGACTAAGAGTGGCAACCACAGATCGTAGTGTAGGCAGGTTTCCCACTAGGTGGACTGACGATCTGGTGAAGATCGCGGGAAGTGTTATTGTGGAATCTTTGAGAGAAGCTTTTGTCCAGCAGTGGACGTCATTTGGCTGAAACTAACGAAAACTAGAACGAGACCACGCACAGGAAACTATGCTTGAGATTGGATTGAATTTTAAGGTCGTTTAGTAATACGGGCCCAAGTCCTTGTTTTGTACACGTGGACTCATGATGTGAGAGGTCACTGGATATCCTGGGAAGCTGCAGCGATGTTGGGTTTGAAATAATGCGGATTGAAAAGGAACTGCACCCTTTTTCTAAACAAATACTTGATGTTGATAGATTTAAGTATGTCCGCTCTGTTATACATAAATTGATAAGAAATAGTACATAAGCAGATGTATCATGTTGGAAAGATCAGCTTAGCCATGACCAAAAAAAAGTTTAGGACGGGCTCATGGTAAAGTGTTACTTGTGAAATGTCGTCGCTCATGGAAACCGGCAAAGGGGATTCATCATCATCATCATCTCAGCCACAGGACGTCCACTGCTGAACATAGGCCTTCCCCAATGATTTCCATAATGACCGATTAAGAAGATTGTAATTTGGTAATTTGGAACTTTGTTTAATCAGGGTTTTCGCAATTGAAAAATCCGCCAGATGGCAATACGTAGACGCGAGGTCCAAATGCTGCATGATTGGTGGATTTTGACATATATGTCAATGTCATGTCAAAAATAACCAATCATGCAGCATTTGGACCTCGCGTCTACGTATTGCCATCTGGCGGATTTTCAATCGCAAAAACCCTCATTCTAACGAATCCTAGCGATCCAACCCCTTTGGCCAGCGTGCGTGGGGAGTGTAAGCCCATACTTCCCTTTTACTTCTGGCAAATTACAGAGGATCGCCCACTTGCAGTGGAGACTATGACCTGATTGATGATGATTCTAATGATGACCTCCTTATCACTAGACAAGCTTAGCATTGTGTCAACTATCTTGTACTGTACTGCAATGGAGGGAAGTCGAACCTTAATTTCGAACTCCTCCTATGTTCTTCTGATTAATTTCGTTTCGGGTCCAATGACAGTTTAACTTTCCCCCGGGACCCCCTCGACCTTCATTGGTTGGGTTTTTGTGGCGGTCAAGCTGTAGATCCTGGCTACACAGGAGTTGCAGTGGTGGGAACGAGAGGTGGGAATAGTCCCGTATCTTGTACTGTAAAGTTTCACACATTACCCGTAACAACTACATCAAAAACCGCCTGTGCATTTACGATTGGTTCATTAATCACATTCACGATAACGTGCAGTAATGGCCGCTCACCGTGCTCCCGTTTGTTTCGCTCTCGTTATCGTATTTACTGTGTTGCCCAAGAACCAAAGGTCAAGACGGTCCGTGTTCCCAGAAATGTGACAGCATGGTCAATCTTCAAATTGGGACATTACTGACCCATAATTGCAAGACATATTGACTAAAGATACTAAATGACAGCCATGACAAACTAATTATAGGTCAAGCGCTTTTGTCAGACAGTGCCAGTACGGGTAGCACGAAAAACTTTCGAGTTCGAATCGTTTGCGTATTCGAATCGCCATCAAAAGATTTAGTAAGAAAACTACAACAGCACCCTTGTGAACGTATAATAAAGTGAACTTAGTATGAGAAAGGGTTGCACGAAACTTATTTTGAGAATCAAAATTGTCACGTTATCGTTTAATTCGACGGTTGATTATCGAATTAGGTCGAATACGCAAACGATTCGAAGACGAAAGTTGTTCATGCTAAAGGTACTGAGCACGGAAGTTTTAGTTACGTCGAACGTCAGCAAAACTTCAGATGCGCTTCAGATTTGTATGCTCTGTCTCGTCATAATGAGGGCTATCGTTTTTATACTTAACAGTTGGCACCCCTGGCGATTGACAGGACCTTACTCTACAGTGGCGCCATCTTGATGAGTGCAAATGCGATAGTCCTCCTACCACTTTAGCGCTCACCAGTTGGCGCCACTGTCTTCGCTGCTAGCAAGTGACAGGACCTTACTCTACAGTGCAGTGGCGCTAACTGGTGAGCGCTAAAACGATAGCCCTCATTATGCCAATGTTCCCCTCCCGTGTCGCTGCTATCCTCAGGCACTGACTGAATTAAACGCTAGAACTATAGTAAAATTACGGTTTAAGACATTTATTTCTCAAAACAGAAAATACATTCACTTACATTGAGAAACACTGGTTAGTAAATTATTCATCATGGAGCGGATATGTTGCAGCTCATAACAATTTTAGATTAATCACACAGGTACAGTTTAAAATTAACTGTAGTTGTATTTACAGTTGCAAAGAAAGGAATAATTAGTAAATCGAGTGGGTGAATAGTGACGTCACAGGCTACCGTATTTCTAGGGCGGAATTGCGTATACAGCTCGTAAAAAAGTATGTCAATTGATTGGTAGTATCTATTCAATTAGTTACATAGTTACAACAATCTACCGAGTGGGTCAACTCCCTATAATGTTGACCATATTTTTTGATCCTATCCCCTCTCTCAAAGCAAATTCTCCAGTCCAAGATATTTAGTACACAGGACCGCAAAGAAAAAGGATCGGTTAGAAAATCTTCAATATCTTCAAAAAGTAACTGACCTAGCTTTATGAATTGTAGACTAAATTTAATTCAGGCCTTTTTATTTTATGTAAAATAAGTTTAAAAAATGCGTAGTTTTTGAAGCAAGTTTTGTTTCATAAAGCAAGGTCAGGTACTTTTGAAGATAAAGAAGATTTTCTAACCGACACTTTTTCTTTGCAGTCCCGTGTTATTGTTTTTTACTAATTAAACCGAGTAATGTCATAGCAAATTAGCTTTAGTGACATTTAACACGTTCTCCGTCAACTACACAAAAGCGGGGATTTACCCAAACATAGAGTTACATTGATGACTAATCTTGTTATACTATAGCACTTGTACGGGCTCGTTGATATCAAAAGGCGTGAATCTTACACAATGTACGCGAGTTCTTGTAAATAAAACGTGTTTAAAGAGAATATTAGGTACAAAAAACATACAGTCAAATTGAGAACTTCCCTTTTTTGATGTCGGTTAAAACGGTAACATTAAAGGCAGATAGTCAAAAACCTTTTGAGTTGTCCGATGTCCGGTGATTTTTAGTAAATGAAAAATTGAAAAATAACATCGTACATCCATACTAATATTATAAATGCGAAAGTAACTCTGTCTGTCTTGCTTTCACGCTTAAACCACTGAACCGATTTTGATGAAATTTGGCATAGATATAGTTTGAGTCCCGGCAAAGGACATAGGATAGTTTTTATCCCGGTTTTTGAAACAGGACGCGCGCGATATAGTTTTTCTGTGACAGACAAAATTCCACGCGGGAGAAGCCGCGGGTGGACAGCTAGTATTAAAATAATTTCCAATAAATGTAAAAGTATAACAGGATAAATAAACTTTAACGAGTTTATAGTTTGTTAATGCTTTTTTGGGGAAATACATGTCAATGACCTCATGCAATTGTCATTTAATCATGATTGATTAGAATGGTTTAATAGTGATGAATTCACACCACTGCTTGTGCACAAAGTTGATAAAATTGTTTCAGAAATAAGTTAAATAATGAATCCGTCAGATTAGTGGTATTGGTAAAAAGAAGTGAATAATTGAATATGAATATGACCTGTATTTATAGTCGAATTGACCTGTATTTGTAGCCAAATTGACCTGTATTTATAGTCGAATTGACCTGTATTTGTAGCCGAATTGACCCGTATTTGTAGCCGAATTGACCTGTATTTGTAGCCGAATTGACCTGTATTTGAGATTGTTTCATCCAGAAAGACGCGCCCCATTATTCTTCCGCTAATGTTTGAGTGTTATCGGTACACGCTAAATTATCCAAGAGTGCACACGCACACTACAATAATGAGGCTCGTATTGCTCGGATCAAACTCCCCGCACCCCGCGCTTCCCTCAACCAAAAAGTGGTGGGGTGCGGCGTCTTCGTGGTTGAAACGATCTATACCGCCGAGTCGACCTGTAACCCCAATCCGTCCCCCGGACACGGCCTGAGCCGAAGTCCGAGCCTACCGTGGCGCCCTCAGGCCGCGTCCGTAGTCCCCTCGATCGGGCCCACTAGAGTGAGCCCACCGTAGGCTGGACTTTGGTCCAACACCGCGGTGGGCAACCCTCTAGTTGGGTTCGCCACTGATCGGGCGCCTTATGCGCTCGATACGGCCCGATCGCGAACGTCGTACTGTACTCGCCACTCTGCCCGGTGAAGCTGGAAAAGCTCTTAAAGCTACCAGCGCGTCCCTTCAAAAAAAAATTGTAACCATTAAACCTTACTCACCTCAAACTGAGCACTGAAAGTTTTGAACACGCCTTCCCAGAGGCTCCCCGACTGCGTCAGGACCTGCACGTTGTCGCCGACGTGCGAGGTGACTGCGTGCATGAAGTGCGCGTTGTTGTACACGCCCTCAGGCAGCACGCGGCCCCGAGGCGACCTGGAGACAATAATTGGCATTCTTAGAACTAGACCAGGGATGCATAGACTTAGGCCCTTCGCCCACGGCGATTGCAGTAGCGCGTTCGCATCGATACCACAGAATAATAATAAGTACTACGTACAGAAGTTTTACTTCGCGAAGGTATTTAAAAAAATGTATGCTCAATGTCATTACCAATATGGTGTAATTTAGCCTGTCTNTCCTAACTAAGCTTCGTGCACGACATTTTCTTATACCATAATATTCCTGCGCTCATCACATTGATACAAACTTTCATTCTCTAAAAAAACAACCAAAATACAGACACAAGTGACTGAGAGTGGAATACTAGAATAATAGATGAGGTTTTAGTACCTATTTTTGGGAGAACGTATAAATTATGCTTAACGTGGTATTTTATGACCTTCCGAGGTCTGTACCAAAAAAACTCACCGAAGTATAGGGCTGAAAAAAAAAACAACAAAATACAGATAGAAGAATATCTCAGTTTAGGCCATATTCGTTTGAAAAACTATACCATTTAGAAGGGGCTTTAGTATTATTGGCAGAACGCATAAATTATGCTTGGCGTGGTATTTTATGAACAATAGTAAAACTGACCTACGATCACGGGTAAACAATTCGCATTGCGGTGAAAGTTATAATAAAGTATTGTATTAAACGCGATGATGACGAATGGTCCCGCCATTCTAGATGTACAATGACGTCTGATGTATGTTCCATCGAACTTTATGGTGTAAGGTTGCGTCACGTACGTTCCATCGAAGTTTAACTTATAACTCTCGTGTTCTTTTGATTAATTTCTTTGCGGGTCCAATGACAGTTTAACTTTCCTCCTCGAGACAATCTTAATCTTCACTGGTCGGTTTTTATTGGCGGTCAAGCTGTAGATCCTGGCACCACAGGAGTTGTAGCGGTGGGAATTCGAAGAGGGGGAATAGCCCCTGACGTACGTTCCGTTGTTCTAATTGACTCATCATTTTCTACCTGAGCCGACAAGTTTTTCACTGATAAGATAAAGGGACGTGTAGACTTCACCTTTTCGGAGCATCCATACCAATCGGATGACAACTTTATGACTCATAAAATATGCATTTTACATTTTTGGGCTGCATCTCACTTGGAAGTTATGATCATTCCGATGTTGCAAGTTCGTATAATGTTCTTAGTTTGACCACAGAATAATAATGTTTGACAGCTAAATCCAGAAATATAACAGAAGACTTAGCATAACAAAGAATGCAATGGAGACGGGATTCCCTCGCAATCAGACCTCATGGTATTTAACGAGCTTCTATATTTGTCTAACTCATTGCGGGTTCTAGGACAGATATCCTCGAAACCATTCAACCTCCACTGGTTGGGTTTTTTAATTTGAGGTCTAGCCTTATATTCTTGGTATACTATACAGTAATGGGAATAGCCCCAATAAATCTTATCTGTTTTGATGCCAGCTGGTTTTAGTTGAATTGCACGCATAATATAACTGGGCGTTATTATTACTGTAAGTGATATTATGCATGAAGATGCAAATACAGCACACCCTTGCGAATTAGGGCGCACGGACCGGTTTGGTGACCTTGAGTGTGATTACCGAACGGTTTTCATGAGGCCCGTATTACGAAACGGTGCTCAAAACTATTCAATCTCAATATCAGATTTAGGTTCTTATTGGTTGAATCCTAGATTTAGACTATGAGTACGCAACCACGGATCGGAAGACGGATTGTGGTCAGATCTTCGATCTGGTGAAGATTGCAGGAAGTACCATCATGCGGGCAGCACAGGACCGGTCATTGTGGAAATCTTTGAGAGAAGTTTTTGTCGCAGCAGGGACGAAGCAACGCAAAACGGCAATAGCTCAGTAATTGGTTTACTTATAACAAACCACTGATTTTCAGCAATAGCCTGAGGACGACAAACGCGCGTGACACGTCAACGTGAAGATCGAGGTGTGGTGTGGTGTGCGTAACTAAATAAAATTGGCCAGCAGTGGATGTAATTTTGAAACGAAAGGACGATATTTACTAGAACGAGATTGAGATTTAATAGCGCAGGATGGACAAAAACTGCTTGAGATGAGATCGAATTCTGATGTCGTTCCGTAATACGGGCCTAAGTCCTTGTTTTGTACACGTGGACTGGTGATGTGAGGTCACTGGATATCCTGGGAAGCTGCAGCGATGTGGGAAATAATGCGGATTGAAAGAACTGCACACCCTTTTTCTAAACGAATACATCACAGATTTAAGTATTGCTCTGTTATACATAATAATATACAAAATAAATAAATAAATAAATCTTTGGACAATTTCACACATCGCCAGCTAGCCCCAAAGTAAGCAACTTAATGCTTGTGTTATGGGTGCTAGCTTAACGGATATACTACTTATATACTTTTTTTTAAATACATACATATTATACATAGTAACACCCAGACCCCTCACAGAAATTAAAATTCATCATTTCAATTTCTGCCCGGCCGGGAATCGAACCCGGGACCTCTTGGCATAGTAGCACGTTCTGAACCACTACCTACACCAAACGGCCGACAAATAGGACATAAGCAGATGTAACATGTTGGAAAGATCAGTTTAGCATGACAAGAAAAAAGTTTAGGACGGGCTCATGGTAAAGTGTTACTTGTGAAATGTCGCAAAGGGGATTCATCATCATCATCATCTCAGCCACAGGACGTCCACTGCTGAACATAGGTCTTCCTCAATGATTTTCATAATGACCGATTAAGAGGATTGTAATTTGGAACTTTGTTTAATCAGGGTTTTCGCGATTGAAAAATCCGCCAGATGGCAATAATGCAGCATTTGGACCTCGCGTCTACGTATTGCCATCTGGCGGATTTTCAATCGCAAAAACCCTCATTCTAACGAATCCTAGCGATCCAACCCCTTTGGCCAGCGTGCGTGGGGGAGTGTAGACCAAATCCTCCCATTTGCCTCTGGTAAAATAGAGAGGATCGCCCACCTGCAGTGGAGACTAAATGACCTGATGATGATTGTAATGATGACCTCCTTATCCTAAGCTTAGCATTGTGCCAACTATCTTATACTGTAAAGTTTCACACTTTAAGAAAGAAAGAAAAAAAGATACATTTATTACAATGGACATCACACAAATACAGGCAATTACATAGACATGACAGTGGCACATAATAATGGACGAAAAAAAAAAAAAAACAAGAGTAAACTGAGCAGTGCCACCCATTCACCATCAAGATGCCCACTGCAACGGGACCCCACTCAGCATATGCCGTGGCCCACGGTGACGAAGGCCACGACGCTGGTTTTCAGTGTGCCCCATTACAGGTAACAACTACATCAAAAACCGCCTGTGGATTTACGATTGGTTCATTAATCACATTCACGATAACGTGCAGTAATGGCCGCTCACCGTGCTCCCGTTTGTTTCGCTCTCGTTATCGTATTTACTGTGTTGCCCAAGAACCAAAGGTCAAGACGGGGTCCGTGTTCCCAGAAATGTGACAGCATGGTGTTATCTTCAATTTGGGACATTACTGACCCATAATTGCAAGACATATTGACTAAAGATACTAAATGACAGCCATGACAAACTAATTATAGGTCAAGCGCTTTTGTCAGACAGCCTACCAGTACGGGTAGCACGAAAAACTTTCGAGTTCGAATCGTTTGCGTATTCGAATCGCCATCAAAAGATTTAGTAAGAAAACTACAACAGCACCCTTGTGAACGTATAATAAAGTGAACTTAGTATGAGAAAGGGTTGCACGAAACTTATTTTGATAATCAAAATTGTCACGTTATCGTTTAATTCGACGGTTGATTATCGAATTAGGTCGAATACGCAAACGATTCGAAGACGAAAGTTGTTCATGCTAAAGGTACTGAGCACGGAAGTTTTAGTTACGTCAAACGTCAGCAAAACTTCAGATGCGCTTCAGATTTGTATGCTATGTCGCGTCTTTCCAATCTATACATAGCCAGAACGCAAGGGTGTGAAACTAATCGAGTATAGTTTGGAATATNATTCGTGTATAGTTTGTAGGAACACATTTACAAAGGAGCACTCCAAAATATACACGAGCAGTTTCCTATGGGTGCGTTATGGCCATGTATAGAACGGAAAGACGCTGCTATGTCTCGTCATAATTATGCCAATGTTATGCTAAAATCCCGTGTCGCTGCTATTCTCAGGCACTGACTGAATTAAACGCTAGAACTATAGTAAAATTACGGTTTAAGACATTTATTTCTCAAAAGAGAAAATACATTCACTTACATTGAGAAACACTGGTTAGTAAATTTATTCATCATGGAGCGGATATGTTGCAGCTTATAACAATTTTAGATAAATCAATAATCACACAGGTACAGTTTAAAATTAACTGTAGAATTATATTTACAGTGCAAAGAAAGGAATAATTAGTAAATCGAGTGGGTGAATAGTGACGTCACAGGCTACCGTATTTCTAGGGCGGAATTGCGTATACAGCTCGTAAAAAAGTATGTCAATTGATTGGTAGTATCTATTCAATTAGTTACATAGTTACAACAATCTACCGAGTGGGTCAACTTCCTATAATGTTGACCATATTTTTGATCCTATCCCCTCTCTCAAGGCGAATTCTCCAATCCAAGGTATTTAGTACACAGGCCAGCAAAGAAAAAGGATCGGTTAGAAAATCTTCAATATCTTCAAAAGTAACTGAATTACTTTTATGAAATACAGACTAAATTAATACCTACAAGCTTTTTACTTAAAAAAAAAGTAAAATAAATTTAAATGCGCAGTTTTCCAGCATGTTTTGTTTCATAAAGGTAATTCAGTTACTTTTGAAGTTACAGAAGATTTTCTGATCGGCCCATTTTCTTTGCAGTCCCGTGTATTTATTGTTTATTACTAATTAAACCGAGTAATGTCATAGCAAATTAGCTTAAATGACATTTAACACGTTCTCCGACAACTACACAAAAGCGGGGATTTACCCAAACATAGAGTTACATTGATGACTAATCCTGTTATACTATAGCACTTGTACGGGCTCGTTGATATCAAAAGGCGTGAATCTTACACAATGTACGCGAGTTCTTGTAAATAAAACGTGTTTAAACAGAATATTAGGTACAAAAAACATACAGTCCAATGAGAGTTTGCGCGAATGAAAAATCCGCCAGATGGCAATACGTAGACGCGAGGTCCAAATGCTGCATGATTGGTTATTTTTGACATGACATTGACAGATATGTCAAAATCCACCAATCATACAGCAGTCAGACCCCACATCCACGTCCCGCTACCTAGCGAATCTTTCATTCGCGAAAACCCTCATTGAGAACCTCCTCTTTTTTTTATGTCGGTTAAAAATAGGTAACTCATAAAAGGCAGAATGACAAAAACCTTTTGAGTTGTCCGATGTCCGGTGATTTTTAGTAAATTAAAAGTAACATCGTACATCTATACTATACTATAATATTATAAATGCGAAAGTAACTCTGTCTGTCTTGCTTTCACGCCTAAACCACTGAACCGATTTTGATTAAATTTGGCATAGATATAGTTTGAGTCCTTGGAAAGGACATAGGATAGTTTTTATCCCGGTTTTTGAAACAGGACGCGCGCGATATAGTTTTTCCGTGACAGACAAAATTATACGCGGGGGAAAAGCTGGTATTAAAATAATTTCCAATAATGTAAAAGTATAACAGGATAAATAAACTTTAACGAGTTTATAGTTTGTTTATGCTTTTTTGGGGAAATACATGTCAATGATAATCATGATTGATTAGAATGGTTTAATAGTGATGACTTTACACCATTATGCACAAAATTGATAAAATTGTTTCAGAAATGAGTTTCAATAATGAATCCTTCAGATTAGTGGTATTGGTAAAAAGAAGTGAATAAATGAATATGACCTGTATTTATAGTCGAATTGACCTGTATTTGTAGCCGAATTGACCTACAGAACTGCACAGTTTTTGTAGCAACATGATGCCACATAAGTAGTTCTTTAAAAAATGATGCCACATGTAACTAAATTATTTTGTGACGTGGCGACTAGCTGGACTAGGAACCGTATCCTTTAAAACCCTCTCTCGATAAGCTTAAATCGTGTCGCGCATCTCGGCCCTTCTGTTACATCGAGTCGACCTGTAATCGCCGAGTCAACCTATAGATTGTTACATCCACGAAGACGCGCCCCACCATTCTTCCGCTAATGTTTGGCTACAATGCCGCTCGGATTGCTCGGATCAAACTCCCCGCACCCCGCGCTTCCCTCGACCAAAAAGTGGTGGGGTGCGTCTTCGTGGATGAAACGATCTATACCGCCGAGTCAAACTGTAACCATTCTCCCCAATCCGTCCCCCGGACACGGCCTGAGCCGAGGTCCGAGCCTACCGTGGCGCCCTCAGGCCGCGTCCGTAGTCCCCTCGATCGAACCCACACCCACTAGAGTGAGCCCGCCGTAGGCTGGACTTTGGTCCAACACCGCGGTGGGCAACCCTCTAGTTGGGTTCGCTCTTCAAGCTACCAGCGGGCGTCCCTTCAAAACAAAAACTGTAACCATTAAACCTCACTCACCTCAAACTGAGCACTGAAAGTTTTGAACACGCCTTCCCAGAGGCTTCCCGACTGCGTCAGGACCTGCACGTTGTCGCCGACGTGCGAGGTGACTGCGTGCATGAAGTGCGCGTTGTTGTACACGCCCTCAGGCAGCACGCGGCCCCGAGGCGACCTGGAGACAACAATCATCATCCATAAGCTGGTTTTAATGTCACGCGGACCGTCCGGTGCAGACCCGCTCTGTAAATCTGTAAAACTTCTAGGGAGCGTTTTAGAGTAATGCGGTCCGGAGGAACCGCTCCGCTCCCTAGCAGTTCATACAGATCGACTGTGCGGAGCGATCCGCACTGACAGTCCGCGTGATACTAAACTAAAACCAGCCTTAGAACTTGACCTAGACCAGGGAGGCATAGAATAAAGGACGTCGCATATTTATCAACCCGGAAAGGGCACATTTATGAACCGTAAGTACAAAGTTTTGACATACTTTAGAAATAATATAATTATAATGCGAACAGCTAGGGACTGGGATTCGTTGCCTGCTGCTGTCTTTCCCGAAAACTATAATCCGGGCCTCTTCAAGGCGAGAGTGAATAAGCACTTACAGGGCAGATATTATGTACCATCCTAGACTGCATCCCACTTAACATCAGGTGCGATTGTGGTCAAATACCTGCCTTGTTATGAATTAAAAAAAAAAAAAGTTAATGTACTTTTTAAATTTTGGTTAAGATAACTGACAAAAATAAGTATGTTTGCTGAAGAGTGACTAGCGTGGTATTGAATGCAAAAGTTTGCGAGTGGCCCTAAATGATTCTATTAGAAAATACAATCCAAAGCCCAAAGGCAGTACCTACTTCAAAACAAAAATGTTTATTTGTTGAGCTCTAAAAGTCATATTCTGCACTGAATTTAAGTGGTTAATAGAAAAATTGGGCTAGTGTGTGAGTAATGCTACAATATGCCTGCTTTTAATAATAACTTCCATCCATTTTCATCGAGTGTAATAACAACCTTAGGTTATCTAAAAATAAAAATCTAACCAAGCGTTAATTATCTTATCATCATTATAAGGTATGTCATTTGTTGATGACTATCAATTCCTCAGTGTGGTCTATGAGAGGCAGTGGCAGTGATAAAGGTGTCCGTCAAATCAATCATCAGATCAATGTTATTATGGAGGCACTTGGGAGGTCATGTATTATGGACGTCTTTTGGTTGACACAAGTATGATATCGAATAACATGCCCAGCCAAACTAATGTGAAGAAATCTGTATGGTAGAAGGCGGAAATTGGCGACTAGAATCTGGTTAAAAGGGACCACAAAAGGTTTAAAGTTTCTTGGATTTGTTTGGAATACCAACCTGGAACAGTTCAAAAAGTTGTGCTGGTCGTATTACTTGACATATGAACTCTATAAAAGTTAATATAGTCTATCCAATATAGCTTGATTAGAATGACAGCTGCCATCAAAAGCAACGACATAACTTTGTAGTAGCGATCAATGAGAGCTAAATATTGGCGGACAAGAAATAATTCACGTCTGACCTACAAACAATATTTTCGACGACAGTGCTTCCAATAAAAATGTTAATTTCGTGTAAATGCAGCGTTAAATTNAATGGCGGAGGAAATACATGATTTAGCATGAATTATCATGAATAATATTAACTTCTTATTTACCTCTCAGTGTCTTGAGGCAACTTAAAAAAGTACATTCTGTGTTTTTATTATTATTTAGGCAGTTAAATACTGCACAGTATTTAGTACATTTTCTTCCATCATACACAAGAATACGCGTGCGTGAGTCAATGTTCGCTCGTATGTGAGGCCTTGTCGAATAGTATCCTGTAGGTGGGCCATCGTGCGTGTTTTGTTTTCGATGTAAACTCGCGGAGATGAACAGGCCTGTCGATACAGTCGTAATCGCAATGCAGTCGCTATCTGTGTGCCCTTGCCTACAAAAACGCGCTTCTGTCACGATGCAAACGCGATTTAGTAACCCTCCCTCCGTTCTCTCCCCGATGTCTTCAGACATGGTCGTGCGTTTGCATCGATATTCGATACAGTCGCGCTGCTGTAGGTAGTGCGTTGGCATCGCTTCTGTAGTGCATTGCAAATGCGACTAACGCGCGAGGGCCCTAAAGGACGTGGCACATTTATCAACCTGAAAAGGGGTCGTAACCAGTCCTGGATCTGTCAATAGGCCGTATAGGCCACGGCCTAGGGGCGGCAGAGTCCTAGGGGCGGCAGATTTCAGATGACGCTTACTCGATTTCAGAAGATAAAAGTTAAATAAAGATCCAACCCCACCCTAGCCTACGGGCGGCAAAACTGTCAATCCGCCACTGGTCGTAACCGTACCAACTCGAGGCGATCAGTATTCTATGTATGAAACTCCATACTGCAACGCACACTTGTCCTCTCTCACTCACTGCCTCGGGATTGACAGCGCGCGAAAGGCGATGACAGCTCGCAAAGGCGATGTAGATGACCCACGCTGAACTGTCCCACCAAACTCAATGACAGGGGGGCGCTACCATCGTTTAACTAGGTATATGGTTTCCAACATGGCAAAAATCGGAACCAGCGATCCGGTATTGACGGTGGCGCCCCGCTGTCAATGTCATGCATAGGACAGTTCAGTATTTTGGAACTATACGGTGTTTGATCCCTTTTCGAGTTGATAAATCTGCTATGAGCTTTACTGGGAGCACGGGCCACTCGGGCAGATTCTGAGCTAGAAGCGGGCCGCAGATAAAACAAGTGAATAAAGGTTCCGGTTGTATTTCCTTATTTTTATTAGGTCGCTGGCGGGGTGCATACAAATGTATACGGGGACGCGGTTTGTGCATCCTTGACCTAGAGAAAGTTAAGAAGGTGCTATTCTAAACCGAGCTGCAAACTGCAACGTCTGCAATTGCCGACAGCTTGTATAGCAGCTGCTGCATTACTGGTTTGTATGTGTATTTTATGAAATGGCTGGCAACAGCACTTGGAGCACTAGCAACACTTGATGCAGCCACTGCACATGCAGCAGGCATGCAGTTGGTAGCTCGGTTCGGAAACCTTTACATTCCTGACAGTTACATACAACAAACGTCGAAGTGAAGGAATTTTTGTGGTTGGCGGAGAAGGGGGCTTAAATAACACTGCACAACAGCATTTCTGATGATTGGGTTATGTTACATGATATTAGTCCAATTTTTAATGACGATTTCAAATCTGTAATTAAAATGTCTGTATCAGCTCTGGTTAAAAAAATATGACACTTGGGTCTTTTTGTAAAAAAACACTCTTTTTTTAGAGATGATCCTATTTTATGAAGTTGTTAAGTTGAAAAAACTTTCTTTTATTTGACTTCCTTGCTGATGCTGAAGGCAGACAGCTCTTCTGAATGATTCAACAGCAGTCAGCCATCATGTGTGCATTCCAGTGGCCCTGATAGCGTCCCTCTATCGTACGAAGGCCCTGGTGGATTTGCTCGCCATGTTCTTCACTTAGATCCTTAAGAGTTGTGATAAAATTGTTCAGGTGATTGCGAAGAGAGTGTAATTCGATGTTTATATTACATCCAACCAAAAAAACATGTTTGTAAGTGATTTATACGTTGTTCGATGTGTAAGAATAGTAAGATTTTTTCGGATTTTCCAAAAAAAAATTAAAATACCAAAATAACTCATTCCATGTCTTTTCGGAAGACTTGAAGATCCTAAATCTCTAAAACGATCGTTTAAACCATCTTGGCTACATGGTTTTGAAAATTTCGGGTCACATTCAAAGTCTCTACCACACTGACAGTTTTCGCCTCAAAATCCTCATGTGAAGTATCAACATGAGGTTCAGGTGACTTCTTAGGGTTGAAAAGACGTCTACATGCCAAACGTATGCAAGGAATTACCATTTAGTTCAATATTTTTTGGTTAATACCATTTTTGTTCAAAAATAAAAATAACAGTCGTCGCGATGGTTCAAGGGTTCCTTTCAGATCATAGCGGTTTCGTACCTAAATCTACACATATTCTTATTTGTTTATAAACGTAAAAACTCAACGCATCTTTTCCACGCCTTTTGCGGAATTCAAGGCTTATCTTTCATTTCCACTGGGTCCCCAAACTAATTTTTGTAAGCCAATTTTACGAACTTTGTCACATTTAAACGGATTATTCAAACATATCCTCTCCGCAAATGAAACAAAATTGATTTAGATCAATCACACAAACACTTCTTAATGCTACCATATTAAATTATACAAAGAAAACATAGTATTTTTTGAACTGTCGGCGAATTAAGACTGAAATTTAGCAATTTTTGAGTGAAAGCTATAACACGTAAACAAGAGCTGCTACGAAAAAATGGACGGCAGATTCAGAATCAGCGACGTCAAATTAGTAAACATCATGTAATGAAAGTCAATCATCAGCCAAAAGTTGCAATTTTGTTGTGCAGTGTAATGTATTTTTTTAAGGATTATTAGCAATTTGTTTTTGCACAAATTACTAATACTCCCGATACAAGCCCCTCGAGGTAATTGCTTGTGTTACGAGTGGGCTCACCACCATAGTCGAGCGACGGTGGGATTTGAACCCGCGTTCCTCAGATCTCGAGTCGGCCAATCCGACCCCTTCAACGTTCGGCTATTGTGGCTTCATAATAGTGGTGTTTTTGTCAGGTTTTGTGATCCCTAATAGCTATTGGGTGAATAATATGATCGAAGGCTTAACACCACGCGGCATTTCGAGTAAGTACAAAGTTTTGACATATTTTAGAACTATGTAATATACCTACTTTTAAAATTTTAGTTTTTAGACGACTGAAAAAAATATGTTTGCTGAAGAGTGACTAGCGTGGTATTGAATGCAAAAGTTTGCGAGTGGCCCTAAATGATTCTATTAGAAAATACAATCCAAAGCCCAAAGGCAGTACCTACTTCAAAACAAAAATGTTTATTTGTTGAACTCTAAAAGTCATATTCTGCACTGAATTTAAGTGGTTAATAGAAAAATTGGGCTAGTGTGTGAGTAATGTAATATGCCTGCTATTAATAATAACTTCCATCCATTTTCATCGAGTGTAAAGTAACAACAACCTTAGGTTATCTAAAAATAAAAATCTAACCAAGCGTTAATTATCTTATCATCATTATAAGGTATGTCATTTGTTGATGACTATCAATTCCTCAGTGTGG